CCCCAGACTTCTCCCTGCAGCTGTACCATACACTCTACTTGTTACCAGGGACAAAATGTCCATGCTGCTACCAAAGGCCCACCCTTGCCACTTGGGCAGTAGGTCCCAATCCTGGTCATCTACCCAGAGACCTTGCTGCTGTCCTGTTCCTCAGGCTTTACTGATGGTTACATTCTCCCTATTGCTGCAGCATGTACAGATGTGCTGTTCTCTCCCATTGGTCTGCTCCCTTCACAGAAAATATTTCCTGAAAGGATTGTATGTGGTGGTCATTTCCACTTCTTCCCCTTTCTATCTCCTGCCAGCTTCTTTCCTTGGGACTGCAGTGCTATTGACCAGGTTGCTGTGCTCTCCTTGCTAGATCCAGGTCTTACCTCCGTTCCTTGACCTTCTGGCCGCATTTGACCCATTGAGCAACCTCTCAGGAAGCACTGTCTTGTGGGTCTTGTGGTTTCTGAGACACCTTGGACCTCACTGGTCTTTGCCAGCTCCTCCTTTGATACTTTTGACATTAGTCCATTGACTCCATACAGAGACTCTTCATTCTTCATCTGTGCACAGACCCTCGGCTCTGTCATCTAGCTCCTGGCATTTTAAATCAATCTGTCCAAACGAGTGGCATCCAGATATATAGCCCTTTAGACTTGCCTCTCGGCTGCACTTTCCATTTTCACTATGTCTCACAGGCATGTCTAATGACCCATGTCCCACCCAGAGCTCTTGATTTCCTCACCTCCTCCCAATGTATTCCTCACCTAGTCTCCCCCATTTCAGGAAGGACCACCATCATCCCGTCCCCCTAGTTCAAACCAAAAGCCCAGGTGAGAATTGTTTCAGATTCTCTCATTTCCCTTCATCCCTTCTAATCCATGGGCGAGTCCTGTTTGTTGTAGCTCATAGCCCGACTCCTCCAGCTCTCTCCGCCTCCATTCTTCTCTTACCTAGTGTATTGAGCATCCTTTTGGTCTCCTGACCTCACCTTCATTTCCCCTGCATTTTTTTTTTCTCCACACAGCAGCTGGAGATATTTTTTAAATGTAAGTTAAGTTATGACACTATTTCACTTAAAATTCTTCACTAGCTTCCTGTGGAAGAAGGTTTGCATGGTAAAGCCCCACCTCCTTCCCTGACCTTGTCCTGAGCTACCACAGTTGTGCACCCCTCCTGTTGCCCTTGGGCCCTGCCAGTCCCCTTGTTCCCCCAATACACCAGGTTTACTCCTGCCTAGGACCTTTATTCTAGCTTTACCCAGGAAATTTATGGCCTGACTCTCTGTACAGCCAGCTCTATCGCCATTCAGAACTTCCACCCAGATTTATATCACCTCTTCAGAGAAGTATCCTCAAACCATATGGTCTAAAATTACTCATTATCCTATTTTCTTCACAGCACCAATTGCAAAATAAAATTATTTGGCCTATTTTCTTGTTTTATCAATCTTTGTAAAAATGTAAATTCTGAAAACAGAGCTCTCCTTTATCTTGTTCATTGTATCATCGGCACCTATCACAGTACCTTCCATTAGTAGGTGTTTTTTAAATATTTGTTGAATGAAATCTGATTACATGGCTTCTGCTATCTCAACGGCTCCCTTTGCCTTGAGAATGAAGTTCAGTTCCTTTAATGGTTTATGCACCCCTCTGTGATCTGGCCCCTGCTTATTCTTTAACTTATTGGTTCTCAACTAGAGGCAAAAATGTCCCCCCACCTAGCCCCAGAATATATGTAGAAGATATGTGGCAGTATCTGGAGGCACTTTTGCTTGTCAGAACTGGGATGGTGCTGCTGGTATGGTGCTCCTTGGAGACTTGGAGGCTTCTTTAATTCTAAAATATAATTTTATAACTTTAAAACTACAAAGAAAGCTTTTAAAATAATTTTGTTTATGTAATGCTCTCCTTCCTTGTGAGTTTATAGCCTGTTTCAGATCAGATTATAATGTTAATTAACACTAATTTTTACTCATTTGGATCCTTTCCCCCCCCAAATCAAGAAATTCTTATGCTGATTTTTTTTTGGGGGGGTACCAGTGATTGAATCCAGGGGTGCTTAACCACTGAGCCACATCCCAGCCCTTTTTATATTTTATTTAGAAACAAAGTCTTACTAAGTTGCTTAGGCTGATTATTTTCTTAATGGTTCCCAAAAACAACATTTTAAATAATTCTAATGTTTAAAAATATTTTCTCTTCCATTTGCATACTTGTTTCACTGTATTTCTAGTAGTATAGATTTTGTTGTTGTTTTAACTTGGTTAAGGTTTGAAAAATGCTTGGCTATGAAAATAGGTAAGAATTTTTTTTAACTTATTCACAGTTTTATTTGAAATTTATGCATTAGCCTTGCTAAGAAACCCCAAAGGGAGCTGGGCACAGTTGCAGACACCTGTGGCCTGGGAGGCTGAGGCAGGAGGATAGCAAGTTCAAAGCCAGTCTCAGTAATTTAGAAAGGCCCTGAGCAACTTAGTGAGACCCTGTCTCAAAATAGAATATAAAAATGGATAAATATGTGTGGTTCAGTGATCAAGTGCACCCCTGGGTTTAATCCCCAGTATCAAATAAATAAATAAACAATAAATAAAATAACCTAAAGGGGCATCACTCATTTTACTACCTCTGTTGTAGCACCAGGTAGATTCTCTAGCCCAGCTTTTCATCTCTTTCTCTTCTTTCTAGCCTTACAAATTCAGGTCTGCATTGATTTACTCATCCTTTTCTATCATAAGCATTTCCCAAATCCCTATTCATGTGTCCATCTCTGATCTAGAGGACAAGGATACGCTAATAAATAAGGTTGATTCCTTTAGAAGCGATATATTCAATAAGTATTTAACATTTAATTGTGATAAATCCTGTAATAGAGATAGGTACAAAGTGGTGACATAGGATTTTTAAAAATCCATTCCGCTTGAAGGATTGGCAAGATCTGTGAAAGGATGGGCTGTGGGAACTGGGCTCCTGGACAGAAAAAGGAGAGTGGGAGTGGGCTGGGAGAGGCCAGGTGGAAGGACAGAGTGACTGAGTTGCAGCCATTCCAGAGACATGCGGTGGTCTGAATTTCCTATCACCTCCCTCCTGAGTGGTATAAACAAAAGCATTAAAGTGTAATCCTGCCATCAGCTATAATATCACACTGCATTTTTTAATAGATAATTTGAGCTAGGTTTTCAATTCAAAAAGAATAATGAGCCACCTAAGATAGAAACCATTAGGGAGCTGTCTGGCTATATTTGGCTTTCCACAACTTTGAGTAGACCTACATCTGCTCTGGAGGTCACTTACGTCTCTTCATCTTTCTTAGTACTTCCCGTCTTCTCTTGAGACTTATTGTAAATAAAAAGTGGCTTTGTTTGATGTATTTTTATTTTGGAGAGGTTTACCCACCCCAACCCACCCCCATAATGATTTAGTTATGGCTAGGGGGAAATACTGAAGACACTGGTCTCAGATATTATATTGCTGAAGAAATTCAAACTCTAGGAAGAAAATTACATAGAAGGAAGCCATCCACTTTAGAGTCTTTATGTCCTTGAATTTCATGCTCAAGAGCACTTATCCTGGAAAATGACTTGTCTGGTCAAAGGAATCATTTAGGAAGAAGGTGGGAGCACTCATCAGGTTAAAACATTTCCAGTGAGGACTAGGATAAAAGAAATGATAGCTATCAAAATCTTTTTGTTTCTTTTAAAGGATCCCTCTAAAATATTGGCTACCATTCAATAAAGATGATTATTTTTTAAATTCAGGTTTTTAATTTGACAAATGGTGTACCATAAATCTGACTGCCTGAGTGGAGAGAATTCATGTTCTGATGCTTTTGTGCTTTTGTGTGTCACAGAGCTTGTGGCTCTGTACCATCTAAACAGAGTGGCTTAGACAGTGCATCATCACAGCCAATGAGTCACATTGAAACAAGGTTGTGGAACTACAATGATTGCCAATTTTCCCCACCCCTCATCCAACTCCTTTGCTTATTGTTCCTCTCTTCAGCAGCAGGAAGAATGAGAACAGCTTTTCATGTCCTGAATATAAATTATTCATTTTGTCAGGATTTGTTATCCCAAAACTGTAATCTTGTGGATTATGAAAGGGCTATATGTACCAAGAAGCCCCATTCTGGGAGAGTAAATCCTTTCTTAGAACAAGAGGGGTGCTTTGAGCAATCCTTACTGGGTTCAAATCATTTATAAGTGGGGAGAAAGAATCATAATTGTAATTGAGGCTTTTGTAGTTTATTGAGTTTATCAGAGTGTGCATTTCATCATATGTAAAATGTACATCTCCTCAGCAATTTGTAAGGAAATTAGTTAAGAAGACTGCCTAGAAAAAATGCAGAGGAAGTAAGATATACTAATACAGTGTTGTATACTAAATAATTTTCATCATTTTAGTCATCAGTCTGATTTGTGCATTGCTTAAAATTTGTGATTTTAAAAACATTTTAAAGATAAGTTCCTTTTTTGTGACTGCTTAAGAAGTCGTTTTTACTAGGACTCAATCACAGGCCTTCATTTGGTATAAGAAGGAATGGGTATCCTCTCCTGGTGAGTTTTGACTATTGAAGTAATACACGGGCAGCCCCTTGCCCTGTTGTCGAGCACCTGTCGACTTCCATGGGTGTGAGTCACGGTCATGGTCATGGTCAGTCCTTCCTAAATAAAAGGTCCTTCAGCTAGATACACTGGGAAACAGGAACCCATTTCTCTTCCGATGCTATTGGGAGACAATGCATAGGCACCTTTGTGGCCTGCAATATAACATACTCACCTGTACCTGATTGACGCATCTTACTTGGTCTGCCTACTCAGAGTAGAAAATCGATGACTCCAGGACTCTGGGTTCACCTGCCAAACGTGTAGAGTATGTGTATAAAACCGACTGCAGGATGCCCTCGCTGGACAGGAAGCCCATCCCCAACCCTTGGTCTGCGCGGAGCCGGAGCGCTTGGCGAGGCCTCGTGGGATGGGGGCGTGGCCTGCGGGGGCCACGTGGGCGGGGCGGGGCGGGGCCTGCGCAGAGGCGTTACCTCGCCCTAGCCCGGTTCCTCTGGCCCTCAACGGACTGTGCCTCTGCGGAGGCTTTCCTCCCTCTCTTCCTCCTGAGTGCGCAGCCATGAGCTGGGCTGCCGGCGTGCTGCGGTCCAACCAGAGAGCCAGCGCGAAGCTCCTGGGCCCCGGGAGGGCGCGCAGGCCCCCTCGGGCGGCGCAGGTCCCGCTGGGCGGCGGCCGGCTGCTCACGCCCGTGTCGGAGATGGCGACCGTGAAGGGGGAGCTCTTCAAGAATTTGGCTCCCGAGGAGCGCGTCCACCACACCAAGGTGTCCATTATAGGGAGCGGGTCGGTGGGCGTGGCCTGCGCCTTAAGCATCTTGCTGAAAGGCCTGAGCGATGAGCTCGCCCTCGTGGATGTTAACGAAGCCAGGCTGAAGGGCGAGACCATGGACCTTCAGCAAGGCAGCGCCTTCGCGAAGCTGCCCAACATCGTGTGCAGCAGAGACTACCTGGTCACCGCCAACTCCAGCCTGGTGATTATCACGGCAGGGGCGCGCCAGGAGAAGGGAGAAACCCGCCTCGACTTAGTCCAGCGGAATGTGGCCATCTTTAGATTGATGATTTCCAGTATCGTCCAGTACAGCCCCCGCTGCAAACTGATCGTGGTTTCCAACCCAGTGGATATCTTGACCTACGTATCCTGGAAGTTGAGTGCGTTTCCCAAAAGCCGCGTTATTGGAAGTGGCTGTAATCTGGATACTGCTCGTTTCCGTTTTTTGATTGGACAAAAGCTTGGTATCCACTCCGAAAGCTGTCATGGGTGGGTCCTTGGAGAACATGGAGACTCGAGTGTTCCCGTGTGGAGTGGAGTGAACATCGCTGGCGTCCTTCTAAAAGATCTGAACGCAGCTATAGGTACTGGTAAGGACCCTGAGCAGTGGGAAAATGTCCACAAAGAAGTGGTTAACAGTGCCTATGAGATTATTAAAATGAAAGGTTATACTTCGTGGGCCATTGGCCTATCTGTAGCTGATTTAACAGAAAGTATCTTGAAGAATCTCAGGAGAGTGCATCCAGTTTCCACCATAATTAAGGGTCTTTATGGAATAAATGAAGAAGTATTCCTCAGTGTTCCTTGTGTCCTAGGAGAAAATGGTATAACAGACATTATAAAGATAAAGATGACCCCTGAAGAGGAGGCCTGCTTGAAAAAGAGTGCAAAAACTCTTTGGGGAATTCAGAAGGAGCTCAAGCTTTGAAATTGTTTGGAGACCCCATTCTGAAGTTACTGAAGACAAGATATAGATATAGGATTGTGTATGCCAAGGTTTGGAATAACTTGAATTCCTAAAAATTGATGAAGAGGTTCCCCTCTTTATTTAGCCCTCCAGGTTTTGTTTGTTTGGTTTTATTATTTAGTATCCAGATGTTAGATGGTACTTTTTACAATTCTTGACTGCAACACAAAAGGGGGTTTTGGTGTCTCTTATGTATCAGTACTTTCCTTGAACATCAGTGTCGTTGCTATCTAGTCCAAAAACAAGTCTGTTTGGTTTTGGATACAAAACAAAGATATTGGTGTTTATTGTATTATAGAAATTCCATTCTTTTTGTTAAATACATACTAATTCATTCTGGCTCATTAATAAATATGTTCACTTATATACTCTTTTTAAAAGTTGTAACTTCCTCTAATGTAGAAATAAAATTGTGTACACACATGGTACTTTTTTGTAATGAATCCATCTTGAGGCTTCCCTCTTTTTGCTGGAACAGCCAAGCAGCTGGACCATTAAACACAAACATCATGAAATGGGGACTCCGTGTGTGTGTGTGTGTGTGTGTGTATGCAGCACACGTGTGCATGCATGCCTGTGAAGCGAGATCATTAAGATATGAAAATAATGGTGATCAGATGTAGCTGTTATCAAACGTTCAATGCAGTAAAGTAGAATATCTTTAGAAAGAGGCCTGACAGTCACAGGTAGTACAGCTACTGTCATTGATTTGGCAAAAAAAGGAAACCCTTGAATTGTGCAGTTACCAAAAGTAAAACCTGATTTAGAGAAAGCATTTCAGACATGCCTGTGAGAACCTCATCTGCTGTGTTGTTAAATCAAGATGCTATTATAAGTTGTTCTAGCTGGGCTAGGTCTTAGTACTGTGGGCTCTGGCTCCGAGAGTCATCCCTGTTGCTTGGTTTATTTCATGTGAACAGCTTTTGCTTTTCAGTTGTGCCCAGTTTTTAATTGCTTCATAAGACTTGGCCATCTTAGTGAGAATTGCTTTTCTCAGAAAACATTCATTTCAGTTCATACTCTAGACTTTATGGATATGATATACTAAGAGTTTAGGGAAAAGTAAAGATGGTTTATCTGTCCTTTACTTAAAGGACAATATTAATAACTTAGAAAATGGAAAGCTGAGATTTAAAAATTCACATTAGCTTTACTAACACCATTAAATATCTAAATGAGCAACATGATTATGTTCTAATACATGTCATCTTCAAATCATTGTTGCAATCAGCATCTGCTCTCTAAGCCAAGCCAGTGCTGGCTGCTTAGTTGAATTTTATCAAACAGATTTAGGACAGCAGTCCCTCATTAAAAAAAAAATGACCCTGTGTATGCTGATCGGATGAATCTCCCATATACAATTTCACTGAAAACATCTAGAAATGTTCTAATTCCCCCAGGAAACAGTTTCATATAAAGGGATTAACTGATGTGCTGAGTTCCCTGAACATGGGAAAACTAGTGGTTTGTTTGACCCAAGTGGTTATAAGAGATTTGTAGGGCTCATTTGCAGAATCCCTGTTCCCTCTTATGTGATAAGCTTTCATTCAACTGTGTTACAGTCATAATTATGACTTTAGGGTATCAGAGTATGCCTTATGTCTGTTTTATATGTCAGCCAGGATAGGCTGAGTTATGCCACAACGAAAGACAATCTCCCCACAATCTCCCTTAAAATACAGAGGTTTATTTCTCACTCATGTAGAAGCCACAGTGGGTTCAAGTGACTCTCTTGGAAAGCTCTTCTTCAAGTTCTGGCTTAGCACCTCAGGTTACTTTTATCTTGAAGCACCACCTGGGTGACACAGAGTTCCAGTACTGTGATGGGAAGGCAGGAGAGGCGTAGAAAGTCAACTCCTGTGGTTAATACTCAGCCTGGAAGTGACACACATTTCTTTTTCTTATATACACTAGTCACATGGTTATCGAACTTCAAGAAGTGGGAGTATGATCCCTTATCTCCAGAAGTAGATGTATACTGATTCTTGGTGAAAATTAGTGCTACATCTGTCATACATCCAAAAGAAAATATCCACTATTACAAGAGGTATATATTATGTTTTTAAAAATGTTTTCAGTGAAAGGTGGCACATGGGTGAAAGTTTTAGAGACACTTTGTAATGATAATTTTTATCTCCTGATATATTAGTATTATATGGTCTTACTCTGTTCTGTTTTAGGAAGAAACTGAATTACCATATTCTTAAAAGTTATCATTGATGCTATAATCACTGACATATCTAAAGGCTGTGCCTTCATATCAGTAGATCCTATAATGATCCTGGCAATAGTCCTACATCTGCAAGTGAGAAGATAGAAACTAAGTGAACTCGTTAGTGGCAAAAACAACTCAAAAGAGTTTTAAATTCCAATAACTGCCCATTTATTAGAATTGATGCTGTAAGGATTTTCAGAAATTAATTAAACTGAGGTATAATCTGAAGATCTTAAGTATATGGAGCTCCATATGGAGCTCTAAAGCAACTAGAGACCCTGTTTATAACTTAAATGTAGACATTTAAGGCACCACCTTGGTGACAGATTTCCAGTATTGCGATGGGAATGCAGGAGAGGCCTAGGAAGTCACCTCCTATGGTTAATACTCAGCCTGGAAGTGACACACATTTCTTTTTCTCATATACACTAGTCACATGGTTAAGCTACATATACTTAAAATCTGAAGTTGTTGTTGTTGTTTTGCTTTGGAGAAGTCAGTTCTTTCTGTGTACCATCAATAAAGATTTTCAGAATAAAAAACTATACCAAAAACTCCCACAAAATACAAATAGTAGTCCACCAAGATTGTGGCAACCAGAAATAGACACCCACCTATAGTTCCAGTTCCTTCCAGGGATGAAGTGCTATCTCTAGTGAAAAAAAATCTGAAGATTTTAAGTATGCAGAGCTCCATTGTCTAAAGCAACTTGAGACCTGTTTATAACTTAAATGTAGATGCTGGATTTCCATAGCCACAGCTTGAACATTCGAGACTAGGGCTAAGTGGTGTTTCCCCCACTCTTCTCGGTTCTTTCTCCTGTTTTGAAGCCCTTATATTCCTGGTTGGCTGTTTTCCAGATGATTCCTCCTACTGGTTCAGTTACTTACCTATGACCCTGGGAACAAGTAAATAATACAGTATGGGGGAAATGAGAGGAAAGAAGAAAACCAGGCCAGGAATGGGAATGGGAGCACTATCCTGCTGAAGTTGAGCAGCTGCCCTTCACTCTCCTACCCTGGCCTCCTTTGCTTCCCACCCACTGCTTCCTGGCAGCTTACTATTCTATGTCACTGAGAAGGGAGAACGGTAAATGATGCTGCTTGTGCCTTGGCCATCTCACATCCCTTTTGAAAACTGTGTCATTAAGCTAAGTTTTAACATGTTCACCCGGAAAGACGAAGGGAGAGAACCAGGCAACACATTGTAAACCCTGTCTGAGAAGTGCCTGTTTTTCAGCTGCGAAAGTCTGTGCAAAGTTCCTCAATGGGGGTATGGTTGGTGCTTTGGAGAAGTCAGTTCTTTCTGTGTACCATCAATAAGGATTTTCAGAGTAAAAAACTACCAAAAACTCCCACCAAATACAAATAGTAGTCCACCAAGATTGTGACAACCAGAAATAGACCCCCCCCCCATATTCCAGGTCCTTCCAGGGATGAAGTACTGTCCCTAGTGAAGAACCTCTCATAAAGGGATCATCATAGTGCAAAAACTCTTCTCAGCATGGAGAGTGAAAAGAAGGGGTGGGGGAAAGAGAGGCATGTCCCATAATGTGTGTATCTTCAAGATTGGAATCTGGGTCTAGAGCTTGGAGATGCTTGGCGTGGGTCACCTAAGACTATATAGTGGATATATCCTTAAGTATCTTCAGTCTTAGAATAGTTCAACCCAACCACTATAATTATATCCATGTGAGCTTTGTTCTTAGAACACATTTTTATAATGTGTGTGCACCTAACATACAGTAGGTGTGCTTTATGTGCATCATCGCAATCCTCACAACTGGAGGCAGATAGTTATTATCTCCATTCTGCATAGTGGAAACTATGGCTGGAGAGAGTAGGCAGCTTTTCCAGGTGGTGGAACTAGAGTTTGAACGGAGACTCTGATATCACCTCTGAATTTGGAAACAAGGTAAAGATTTAGCCTCAATTTGAAAAAATAAGTATCAACATGAAAAAATATATTAACTAACTCTCAGATAACCACTCTAAGAATATCTGCATATTGCTGATGAGTCCAGGGTTCTTCACAATCCAGATGAGGAGAAACAGTGAGGCTGTGGTGCTGCCGAAATGGCGTCTTCATAGTAGACCCAGAGAGAGGATAAGCATCCATCAGAGTGTGTAAGATTCCAGCTCCAGGAGCCAGCACTCCCCTCTCAGCTGGGGTGTAGGCCTTAGGTGGACCAGGCACCCAGGTGAACTGCAGGAATCCTATCAGCACTACATAAGATCTCCCAACCCCTGCCCTGACTCTTGGATTCCAAATCAACTTCTGCTGGTAAAACCCCTACCCAGGCTTTTCCACACTGCCTGACCCATAAGAACATTCTAATTTATCTGCCATTCATTGATTCATTTGTTTTAGTAAACTCCTACTAAGTTTCTCTTCTCCATTCTTTCCCTCTGGCCCTAAAATTCTCACTTTGAATGACCTAAGTATGTTCATTTATTTGGACTGACAGAAATGGCATTCTTTGCTACATCTGTATGTATGAAAGCCAGCGATCCACACCATTCCTCTGATAGCAGATTCATATCCTGGAGGGTTGTCAGTGTTGCCTTCCAGACTAAGAATGAAATTTTGTGTTATTTAGTTAATGGATTCATACTTGGAAGAAGAAAAGAGGTGTGTGCTTTGTTCTGTCGAGGCAGCTGGAATACAGACCTCGGTGGTTATTGGTCATTCCTTTTGCTCTGTGCCTGTGAGCAGTGAAGTGTTTTCCATTCAGCAAAGGTGCTGTCTCTAATATTTTCGGCTGTTTCTCCCTTCTTCTGACATTTGATGACCAATTTTTTTTTCCTTCTTCTAGATGAAAGACTTTCGAAGTAAAATGCAATCGATATTTCCAACAATTCCCAAGAACTCCACGTCAGCTGTTGAGTGGGAGGAAGCACTGAAATCTAAATAGAAGGACATGGGTGAATTCCAGAATGATTGCTGCAGGAAGGGTGGTTTTGGAAACACCACCATAGTTGAAAAGGGACTGGGAGCAATTTCCCCATCGATCACCAACAGATTGTGATGAAGTGCAGGACGGCAGTGTCGAGGCTCCCTGGCAGGCGCTCTTTCTGTGTGCCTGAGTCTGTCGGGAGGGAAATGTCTTCCCAATGTTCAGATGACTATTTAACAATAATAATCATGGGGATGCCTTCCCAGGTGGAGGGGGCCCAAAGGAAAGATGTCTGTTTGGAACAATAAACCAAGGGTTGTACCTGGGGAAAAAAGAGTTTATAATAAAGTATGACAAAGAATCTTTATAAGCAAACCTCTAACAGCAGTGATACCTCAATGTATCTAAATAAGTGGGTTTTATGAGCCTTTCCTGTCAGTATATGCCTGAGACTCTGGATGGTTACTATGAGGCATTGTCTAAAGTGACAGGCTCATTGGTGACTCCCACATAGTGGGAGGCAGTCATGTGGCTTGGTGGTCCTGAAAGTCGTCTTTGGTTTGCAGCTAGGACACATTCCAGTTGCTCACCTGATGGCCTCACTGGAAGGCCCTGTGAACCATTATGGGTAGGACAAAAAGCCAACAACAGATTATGATAAATGACACAGCTGGGCTAAAATAACAATAATGGGTATAAGATGTACTTTCTTGAAAAATTAGTGCTGGGTCCTGAATACTGACAATCTATAGTTTTGTCTCAAAGTAAACCTATCTTGAATATTTTTAACAGAGTCATTTGAGTCTCAGAAATTGGTAACTGTTCCTTAATGAAGCTAATTCTTACCTACATACGTAACCCTCTCATGTCCTCCACGATCTCACAGAAGACAGATGGAAAATAATGTCTATGTGCAATTATTTTTACTGGAAATTAAAATTCTTTAAAGAAGAGAAAATAATGTGTCAGTATGTCCAGAGAAATCACCCCTGGTCGAACATCACTTGTGCAATTTCCTTAGAATCACTTAGACTCTAATTAGTCAGCAATCAGGTTTAATAAAGCACATTTGAAATTTCTGTTATAATGAAACCTTTTAGTTGTAAGGGAAAATTTTAAATGAAATGTCAAATGCATAATGTAACATTCTTCTCTAGACCACGCTACCCTATTAAAATTACTGTATTGTTAATTAAACAGGTGTAATCAGTGTCTGGGTTCACATGGAACCTGTTAAAAATCCAAGACTAAAAGGAAAGGATTGTGAAATTTATCAGCGTATGGGGTGAGGAGTAGTGAAAACTTCTTCACTCATTTTTAAATAACTCTCTGAAGAGAAGATTTCCAGCCTTTGAATGCAATAAAGAGGCAGGAGCCAAACCAAGCGGGTGAGGGCTGGGTCCAGGCTCCCCTCAGCAGGTGGGTGACCTACAGCCATTTGTAGCTAGGATCTCCATTTTCATTTCCCCAGATGGAGAGAGCCTATTGATTTCTGAAGGATCTTCCTTGGGTAGAAGGAATGAGAATCCCTAGGTTGCTGGAGTGATAAAGGGGAGTCATTAATTGTGATTCTGTTGAATGAATTCCTGCCTTTGAGCTCCTTGAGGGTGGGGACTTCCTCTGGGGGCCTTCTGAACTTGTGACAGCACCTGCTGCGGGGGCTGGGTACACTGGACTGATGGCAGATGTGCCCTAGGAAGGAGCCAGGCCTTGGTGGGTGTGCTGCGTTCCCACGGGGCCTGGCACAGAGGAAGCCTGAGAAAAGCATGCAGGTGGAGTGAGGGAACACTGGCCTGTGGTGCTAACAAAACCCTGTCCTTAACACTTGACTCAGGTCGTACTTGACAGATGGCAATGGGACCCTGTAGAAATGACCATGAGTCACCTGCTGAGGGAAAGCTACCTGGGACAGATTCCCCAGAATAGGTACCAAGCATTGGCTCCAGTTGCACTTTAAAAGCAGAAACAAAGTAACAAAGATGAAAATTCAAAAAGAAAAGAAGCAATATGACTAAAGTGATGTCTTTCCTCAGTCAGAACTCGGATATCAGAAGATTTAGTCTATTCCTTTTATACCAGAGGCATATTGTTAAATTGGTTAATGGAAAGGAAAAATGTTTAACAGATAATGTTATTCTTTATGTGAAGTACCATCTGTGTATTGCATTCTGAATGTTCTGGATATGGAAGAGAGGAAGTGTTATGGAATTTCAAGTTTGCCTTCTTGCTGTCTTTATCTTGGGTAGAGTATGACAAACATAATCACATTTATCTCCTGGAGCATAAAGAGTTTTAATCACCCTATTAACCAGGATGACATTTTTCACAGACTTAAAAAGGAATAGAACAGACATTATCTCCCCATAAGCAATCCATTTCATGGAGGCTGAGCACTAGAAATGCTTTGAAGGAGGGATAACACAAGCCATTTTCATTTCCTGTCTCAGCCAACATTAAGGAGGTTTTTGGCTTCCACTGGGTGAGTGTTAAGCTTTACACTTAGAATCACAGTGCCCAAAGGGCTGCAAGAGGAAGTCATAGGAGAAAGCATGGCGGGCAGAGGTGACTTTCAACACTCTATTCTTTCAAGAGAAATGTGCATCCTGGTAAGTTATGTGTCCTCTCCACTGGCTGGTTTTTTGGTTTTTTGTTTTTGTTTTTGTTTTTGTTTTTTTTTGGAGCCAAGAAAATGTGATTTTTGAACAACCTGAGAATGGAAAATAAGGACTGGGAACTATCTCAGCAGCCTGCCACTAGAAGAAAGAAGGATGGATTCCAGTGATAGGGACAGTAAGCAGATGTCCTACAGCAAAGCCAAGATGGGGCAGTAGGTGACCCTCCTCCATCCTCATTCCAACTCAGACATTGACTGACAGTGGAAAGAAACCTGCCGTGCTCCCATCTGAGCTACTGGGGAGGCTGAAGCAGGAGGTTCCCAAATGCCAGGCCAATCTGGCAACCCGATAAGACCCTGTCTTGAAATAAAAAGGGCTGTAGCTCAGAGATCACCCCTGGGTTCAATCCCCAGTACAACTAATCATCTCAATCATCTCACCTGCCATACTTTAGTTCCATGGATGGTATGGGGCTGAGCTTGCAAATTAATCATTGCAACCTAAGGGAAAGACCGAAGAAATCAGCGTCAGGGGGAGGGCCCATTGGGACAAGAGTAATTAAAATCCACCGAATTTAGCTATTTCACTTCAGGCAATATTTAATCTTCCATAGGTCTGGTTTATGGAGAATGTTGTTTATTTTCATCTCATTTCACGTATCTTCTTTAAAACAAATAGTTAAGTATAGGAAAAGTACAAAAGTTTTCCTCAAATAGTTGAATTTCCTGTCACAGTAAGATGCATATTTTATAGCTTTTTTTGATGTTTAGAATTTTTCATGTAGGTGTTTTTATTTTCTGCCAAGAGTCACTGAATGATAGAGCAAGTACTGGGGCCTCTCTTGGTGTTATCAGGATTCATTGTCAAAGGCTGTGATTTCATGAGCACAGAGAGAAGGAAAGCAAGCATCTTGTTAGCAAATTTTGTCTGACGACAGATAACTCAGTTCTGGAGAAAATTAGAATCACAGTTATCATGGGGCTGGGGATGTGGCTCAAGCGGTAGCGCGCTCGCCTGGCATGCGTGCGGCCCGGGTTCGATCCTCAGCACCACATACAAAGATGTTATGTCCGCCAATAACTAAAAAATAAACATTAAAAATTCTCTCTCTCTCTCTCTCTCTCTCTCTCTCTCTCTCTCTCTGTCTTTAAAAAAAAAAAAAAAAGAATCACAGTTATCAGGAAGTAGATACAGTTTCAGTATTAGTGGAGTGATTTAGGACCTTAATTTACATTTCTTACATAAACTGGATCAGATCCTTTGCCTCATTACCATTTGATGAGGCATGAACACTTACTTTAAAAAATGGAACAACAGTAAAATAATAACAGGCAAGTGAGTGTGTAAATGTACTTAAAGACATAAAGTCTATCGTCACTGGACTCTCCTGAGAAGCTCCCTCAGGCAGAGTGGGAAAACTTGGTATATTCATAACACCTATTACCTGCTCATCTGAAAACAATTAAAAAGTCAGTCTTCCCCTGATATCCCAGGCTCAGGGTGGTTTTCCAGGTTTAGCCTGACAGGTGACACTCTGTGGGACACATTTGGGAGGATCAGCATGCATGCCCTGCTTGAAAAGAACAAGTTGACCAAACAGTTGGTAAAAGAAAGCTCCATTCGATAGTCCTTCTGGAATCGTGCCCCACCTTGTAGAGGCAGGTGATGGGAATGGGTTTATTTTGTTGCTACTGGTTTTCTTCTCCAGCTGTCCCTGTGGTAGGGGTCGAGTTTCTCCACTTTTTGCCCCAAGCAGAGCCCAGATGGTGGACAGCCAGGGGAGGGTGACCAACGGGTCCATCAGGGCAGCCACCACCTGTACCCTTTCATTTTTCTTCATACATGGTGGCCACAGCTGCTCAGGGACCTTCCTGCAATTGAGACAGAGGTTATAAAGCTAAGAAAGTTCTAGTGAGACCTCTCATCAAAAGAAAGGAGGAAACCTCTGCTCTCAGCTTTCTTGTGGGCCAGCTCAGATTCCCTTTTCATAGATTTTTATTACAAATAATTTTGGTAAAATATCTGTGCCCATCATAAAGTCTACCAACTGTTTCCGAGGGACACTGTTTTTTACGGCATCGTCAGTGCAAGACAACGCAAGTAGGTGGTCCTGGTTCTTCCCAAGTTGGAGGTCAAGATGTGGCTCCCACCAACCATCAACCTGAGTCCCAGTTGCCCTTGTCTCTCACATACAATGATGTCCCAGCTGGTGAAGAAGATGGATTGGTGAAGTTTAACGTCTCCGAGCAGGAGGTGGAATTCACATTCCATACAGGAGCAAGTTAGCTGTAAACTT